ATGTCTGTCTATGTCTATCTATCTGTCTGTCTATGTCTATCTATCTATCTATCTGTCTGTCTGTCTGTCTATCTGTCTATCTATCTATCTATCTATCTATCTATCTATCTATCTATCTATCTATCTATCTATCTATCTATCTATCTATCTGTCTGTCTATCAGACTGAGGAAAAACCTAAAGTCTCTGATCATCACTCACCCTTCCTGGTTTATCCGGACAGTCCTCGCAATTTCCAAACCCTTCATCAGGTAAACATGGATAATAACGCATGGATATAAAGTTCACTGAAGGTTCACACATGCGCATAAATGATATGGTTTGCTCCACAGTGTGAAGTTCATGAACAAGATCCGCTACGTGCACAGCCTGGAGGAGCTGGAAAAGATTGTTCCTATGGATCATATTCAGATCCCAGAGTGCATCTTACAGTAAGGAGATTTCAAACAAATATGTTTACGCTCTTCTAACCAAACCCATAACCTGATACCAAATTTACGAGGTCAATTTGTCAATTTTTGCAGATTTGAAGAGGAAAGAATCAATGCTAGAAAAGAGAGGTAATCACCAAAATCCTCAAAATTGGTTTATTTGACTCCTATTAGTTCAACCGGAAGAGGAGAGTCCCATTTGCTGCGTCCTTCTTATACTACACCCTAAAAAGTATGTACTGTTTTTGTGAAGAAAAAGTACATATTGTGAGTGTGTAGCAGAAGAGTAGGCAAACTGTCCCTGTTTAAACTGACCTGTCAATCATTTTATCACAGTTAAAGTCCTCCACATTCAATTTTATTTAATTTCCTACCGTATCGGAGAGAAATGAGGAGACTCTCCTCATATTAATGCATAATGATGCATTTAAAAGTTATTAATAACCAAACATATCTTTACAAAAGTTCACAATGCTGTTTCAGATGCAATATAATGTGGATAACATTGAATAAATGTATTTTCGTCAGGTTATATACTGATTATTAATCACTCAAATCTACTTAACTGTAAGACTCACACATTCGCCATGTTTGTAGTTTTTTAAACACTTTTTACTCGTGTTTGTAGTTCTAATCGAATCCTCGTCCAACGTGCAATGGGTTGTGGGTAATATTACGGATCTCAGATTTTAACTGGAAAATGTAGACCATCCGAGTATCTTTGGAAAACTCATTTCAACACTAATTAATTCTAATTTCGAATAGTATCCGAATTGGGACGCAGCAATTGTGACTGGATAATAGAATAAGTTACCCAGAATGCACTTTTCTTTGTAGAATGGAGCAGGAACAGAAAGAACAACAGCATCAAGAACAGCAACAGAAGCCAACCAATCCAGAGAGGTGAGCAAACACGCATAACACGTCAATATTCCCCGATTGGTTCATATAACGGCACGCTAAAATACTAAAAACTACTTCCTGTCTCCAGGACAACAACGACCGAAGAGCCTGGACTCTGAGCGGGACGAGCTTGAATGTTCTTGTTGCTGATCTTGGACCATTTGTCATATTCCCAAATTATTCATATACATATTAGACGACGCAAAACTAGTTTCAGATCAGCAACAAAGCAGAAACTTGAATTGCGAGTGTGTGTGTGAGAAGGCAAGCTGCTCTCGCTTTCGTCTGCAAAGGCACAATAAAATAAAAAAGCATCTCGAAATCCACCAAAAAATGGAACGACGCACGGAGAAACGTTGCTGTTTTCGGTATCGGGATGTACCATCATGCATTGTAGCCTCTTTGCAGTTAACGCTTTTTTAAATAGGCTGCTTTCTGAGAATGTCATGTGACCTGGCTTTAATTGACGGATGTGTCGGCTCAGGATTTGATTGCTGGTGCATGTGCTTCTCTGTGTATGCGCTCAAATCCAATGTGACTTTATTCCAGTTCGCCCGTTCTGTTTGCCTGGAATCCGTTCTTGAACGTTTTTAACCCCTTGTTTAATGAGCAGCTTTTGTAAATGATAAGTGCCAGTCATCTCTGAAAACAACATTAATGTATTCAGCAGTATTTTTATGTTGCCTTATGTTTGCTATGAAAAATTAAACATTCTGCTACGTGTACGAGAACAATATTGATCTGTTTTTGTCTTTTCTTTTGTCTATCTTTATATCTGAATCACCGATCATGTGTTCTGAAAGCTAATGTATAAATGTCAAATTTTGACACTGAGTAAAAACATATCTTGCTTAAATTTAAAACAAGGGTGTGATATTACATATTACCTCATCATCAGCCAAATCAACTTCCTGAGTTCTACAAAGAATTGCGTAGAAGTCTTGCATCTAATCACAAGATGGTTATTTCTGTATTTCCATGATGTGGCAGACTATTTATGTGTGTGTGTGTGTGTGACTATTATATCAGCAGTCTTTACGATGGAGTGACCAGTCACACTCTTTGACCAAAATAAAAAATGACCCTCACTGTCATTTAGACACAAACAATTGTCAGACTGTAAACGAAATGTTGCCTTTATTAACCATAAGCTTTGACTTTGAATCATTCACACCTGGATTTAGTAGTTCTAGTCAATAACATTCAAGTGCATATGAATTTTTCATTTTGATTATAAAAGATACTTGATGTATTATTAACTGTACCCACCCACATTTCATGCGATTTTGCCCTTCAATTATTCTGACCCCTCACCTAAATATTTGAGAGTCCATTGAGGATATCCATAAACTGTCAGCATTTTGTGATAACATAAAACAGATAGACCAAAATAAGTTTTAGCGACACTATCCTTGTCATATGATTTATAATATTGTATTGTGTGGCATTTAACTGTTAACCTTCCTTAAACTGTTGTTAATTTCAATATACGTTTCAAAAATGTGCTCAACAGTCCTATAAAGAGAACCAACGAAAATTATTCAGTACAGTTTCTCCATGCTGATTTACATAAACAATATTTGCTTATTTGTTCACAGCGATTGGTTGCCTAGCACATTAGCCGCGCCCCTTTCTATGACGTAAAACTCTGGTTATATGCCCACGTGCAACTTTGTTCCCATAACGCACCAGTCAGTCACTACGGAGAACGGAGACTAGAGTGAACATTTTACCTACAAGCAGGACCTTTTAATCTAACATTTAATTTTAGGCGTTTTGCGGAGTTTCAATTGTAAAACTCAAACCAGATCGGATACAATGAAGTACATCATTGGAATAGGAGGGTAAGTGACTTTTTAGAGTTATATTGTGAACAACTAGTTGTAATAGTTACAGTCCAGCCATGTGGCTTTTAATATTTTTCAGTTAAGATAATATATTATACAGATAGTAATTTATTACATTATTTCCGTCTTGTATTCTCACTCATGACGTGTTGGATGCGTGCTTTCACAGGATCGCGAGCTTTGAAACGTTTGTTTATGTTTTGAGCGGGAGATTTAAAATTGAGAGCGCGCCGAAGTTGCTGAATGTTTATAACGGCTATTCGCGCCTTATATATCTATATTATTCTTGCATTGTTGTTCTGTGTGTGTGAAGTAAATTAACAGTCTTTTTATTCACTTTCTTTTTTAGGTTTAATTTTTAATGTGATTTGTAATGTTTGTGCCTCACCACTATTTGCTTTAAAACAAAAGATAAAAAAAATACAAAATAATTTAAGAAATATTAAAGTAAGTTAAAAGTGACTTTAAAGACGCTGAAAGTGACTTTTATGTGGGGGTTTTTAAGTTTATAAAATAATTTAAGAGATATTGTATTGAACACGTGAGTAATAAACAACAATGGTATCGTTTTTGTTGTTATAAGCAAACTGAGGAATCCATCCCGCCAATTTTATATGAATAAATTGTTAACATACACTATTAAATATTATACTAACTTAAAAATAAGTTTAATTGTTCTGATTTTTGACTTTCTTTATTAGCTCTGTATTATTATTTTTAACATTTTTCTTTGGTTATTTACTCATTTTTAGTGTGACTAATGGTGGTAAAACCACCCTGACGGACAGGTTAACCAAAGCCTTGCCAAACTGCTGTGTGGTTCACCAGGATGACTTTTTCAAGGTGAGCTCATCTAAATATAGGCTTAATATTGTTATTTAATATTTCTGCTTAGTTTTCTAAAAGTTACAGCTAAAGGCTAAGATCTCTTGTAGTGTATCAGTTTTGTAATTCAACAATAGATTTTAAGTTTTTAATATTTAATTTGCTGTGCCATTTTAATTGTAGCTTTCTGTTTCTAAATAAGAAATAAGGTTAACTTTAATATAATAAACCCTTTAATGACTCTACATTTGCTTTTCCTCTATTTATTTGATAACTATTTATGTGATAAGAGTGTCATATGAGTAAGAACTCAAAAGTGCTGATCCAAGATCAGTTTCCTCCCATCTGTTAAGTTCTATTCATCAGGTCATGATGGCCGAGAGCTGATTCTAGATCAGCAGTCTGGCTCTGTAATATACATGACGGCATTTGCTGCAGTGTTTTACTGGTCACTGTTATTTCAGCCGCCGGATCAGATAGCAGTCGGAGCGGATGGCTTTAAACAGTGGGATGGTAAGAATATAAATCGTAGGAGAGAATAACTCATTCTACGCATCGCCTCCCATAACAAAGATTTTACAATGTCCCTCCCAACCCATTCTCATTCTCTCTAGTGTGGCTTTGCTAAAGTAAAATTCAACTTTTGTGCGTGCGCTAAAACATTTTGTCCTGCTTTTGTAGTGATCACATCTTTGGATATGGAGGCCATGGTGAATACCATCAAGGGCTGGGAGGAGAACCCAGTTAAATTCGCCCGATCCCACGGCATCCAGTTGACCCCGGCCGCAGAAATGGACGACCCCGAGAGCCAAGTGCACATTCTCATCGTAGAAGGATTTCTACTGTACAACTACAAGTGAGTGTCATATGTTGGCCTGAACTGAATGAATTGAAAAGATTAGGTTCTTGGAACAGTTGGTTACATATGCTCAGTGTACGTAAGGAGACATTAGGGTACACGACGTACACGGCAGTCATGTGACTCTCTGCGGGGGTGTAGATAAGGAGACTCTGCGCTATTGGCGAGGAACTGGCATGTGCTGATTTCTAAAGCGGCTGTGTTGAAGTACAGTAATCAGTAAATGACTTCGTTCGCAGTTCCACTGACGCTGTTCGCTTTTTATCGTGACGTTGATCTTTTTCTCCCTGAACAGGCCTTTGCTGGACGTCTTTGACAAGTCTTATTACATAAGCATCCCGTACGAGGAGTGCAAGAGGCGGAGAAGGTGTGATATAGTTGTATACAAACACTCAGAATTGTGCTAAATATGAGCATCTTGAATAAATGTATGTATTATTGATTTCAGTACAAGGCAGTACACCGTTCCTGACCCTCCTGGACTGTTTGACGGTCACGTGTGGCCCATGTACCTCAAACACAGATGTGACATGGAGAATTGCGGTTTGCCAATCGGTACGACATAGGTTCTTAACATTGAGTTTGAACAAAAAACACACAATTTTTTTTAGATAAATATTAATTTTGTGTCACGTCTGCTTCAACAGAATACTTGGATGGCTTGAAAACAAAAGACGAAATGTACAACCAGGTTCACGAAGACATCCACAATACACTTCTGAACCGCTTATAGGTGAGGTGGCCGATCCAGATCCAGTCAGGTGGAATTATTAATTGCATAAGTTTATGTGCCATGATAAAGGAACTTGTCTTGTTTTTTGTCTTTCAGCAGGAACAGGCTGCCGCCCATCATCTGTACTATATTGTAAATACGAATCTTACTTAAATGGGCCTTTTTTTTTCTTTTACCTGAAATTGTTGTAAATAGTTTGACTGGAATGTAATTTAAATACTTGTGGAGGAACTTTTTTGCATTACCTCTTTAAGGACCGTCTCCATGTTTTAAGTTTTTTTTATTTTATATATATATAGTTTTTGTGACTTTCAAAGCACTCCGTGTTTACCACTTAAAAATTAATTTCCAAAGCTTGATTGTACATGAACCAATAAACATTGTGCTTTGACTTTTATATTTACATTTGTCAGTCTTTCCATTTTACACCCAAATTGACCATGTGTTGTTTTAGTCTCTTATTTTACTGAATAATGTTCTACTTTTTGTTTTATTATACGTTTTAATTTGGGTTCTTAAACTTTTCTTACCCAGCTACTCAATCCAAGGTGCTAGTGTACATTTAAACACTTTAACTTTTACCATTTTAAGTGTATTCGGTGCTTTGTATACTTCGCCATGCCCTGGATTTGTTGCCCATTGTGACTGACCATTTGCTCTTTTTTTTTTTTTATGTAAACTATTTCTAAAGGAATTTGTTTTAATGTCAATTTGAGCCTGATCTGAAAAAGGGTAAAATAGAATTAAGGTAAAGGGTTTAAAGCTCATTAACTATGAATATGTGCACTGAAAGATAAGAGCTGAATATCATGTTGGCATGATAAATAACAGGACCAGTAACTATTAAATAACCATTAACTAATGTCCATGTTTTTCCCTCCTGAGGTCATCCTAACAGTCTTAAAATGAAAAATAACCTGACAAATCTCATTCCTGGGATCATTTTTTTTTCTCTCCCAAATTAGTTTATATTAAACTCATGGATTATTTTCATAAAGATATAACTTTTAAATGTATATGGTGATCTCCATAATCAGCTTTTCCGCTCCACAAGTTCCAGCTCGGCTCTTCAATGCATCGCTCTGTGTAATAAAGCCTATGCTTAACTTGCATGAAAACAAACATTGTCTAGACATTTTCCTGAATAAACCTTTTGCTCATGCTTTAAACTCCGTGTTGAATGTGCCTATGTGCTTTTCAATAGTGTCTCTTTCTCATTTGACAAATGCCTACACATTCACTTCAAATATTTGTGCAAGGGGAAAGTGAAGACATTCGTCGCTATTAGGAGCAATTGTCGTCATTGGAAGATTGGAATGGTTTAAACATTTCGTAGGGCAGATTTTCTTGTGATAATGGCGTGACTAATATTTCATTTAATGTATTGACAAAGGTAGTCATTTTGTTTAAATTATGCCAATAATAAACTCTTATGCAATTAAATAAATATTAAGGTCTCAAATATTAAATTTTGCTCCCTCTAGTGGTAAAAACTGTCATATTTAATAATCTGCAATGAAGAAAGACTACAAAACAAATAGTCTATGGACCTTTTTTAAACTTAATTTTAGTTGTTATACATGTTTTTGTCAACTAACTTCATCTTTAATTCCCATTAAAGTGGCATCACATTTCCCATTTGTGATAACACTTTACAATAAGGTTCATTAGTTAACTACATTAGTTAGCAATGAACTGGATTTATACAGCATCTAGTAATATTTCTTAATGTTAATTTCAACATTGACTAATACTTTATTAAAATCTTGTTCACATTAGTTAATGAAACAAACAAACAGCTTTATTTTTATTAACTAGCATTAACAAAGATGAATAAATACAGTAACAAATGTATTGCTCGTGGTAAGTTCATGTTAGTTAATACATAATGTTAACTAATGAACCTCATTGTAAAGTGTTACCCCATTTGTAAATGTGTGGTGTGCCTATAGGTGTCTATGAAACTTTCAAGAGGAAAAAGTGGGAAAGTTTGTAGAGAGAAACGCCTCCAATGCACCGCCTTCATCTGTACCTATGGGCTCTTATTTAACAGCTTTGAGGAGCACAAAGCGCCACACTTTCTATTGCATCCTGGTCCAAACATTTCGAAATGAAGAAATATTCGCTTATTCTCTTCTTCTTCATACACCTGTGCGTCCTGGTGTGTTTTAGCACCACGCAGCGTAATGGACCCTGGAGACACAAGATTAAGTGGGAAACTAACGGACAGGTTTACAGTTTACTGGGCACCGGTTCTCAATATCACACACCTGTTTCTGGAAAACATACAAGAGTTTTATTGACCAGGCATATGATGCCAACAGGCAGGATTTTCATGGGACGTTTTGCCAATAGGATGCACACAGTTGGGCATGTGGTCCATTCAAACTCAGTGCCAGAGCACAGTCCTGGTATGGATGCAAGACACTACATGGTGTCTGGTCGTATATCTATGAGGAATAATCAGTTGTCTTTGCATGCAAAAAGAACTGCACTTTCTTCAGGTGAAGCACTGCAGACCCAGTTCATGCTCTACGGGATAGCAGCCCCAACTGAACAACCTACACTGGCACCTGTGAAAGCTTCAAGGGCACCAGGACACCATAACACACTTACCAAATCGCCAAAACGAACATCACCCACTATCAATATTGAGGAGAATCCGCTTCCACTTTCCACTTCGACTGGGAGTAAAACTGCAAATAATTCTAAACTTTCATCAAGAACCAATTCAGCTTCACCCTCAGCATATGTTAATAACAGAAATACGGGAAATCCTCCCTTCCAGGTTGAGGAAAGAGGAGGAGAAACTATGATTGGCGATGAACCAACGAATCATCACGTAAACAGCAGATACTCTTTCTACTTTAATCTGCTCCCGTATGGAAGCGCCAATAGATTTCCTCACAGAGAAACGGGTCAGGGTACAAGGTATTTCCATAATGGTAAAACAACAATTTGAACTTTTTAGTCAATGTGCGAATCTTACCATGTCTTTCAGGGCTGTCGACTGTCTTTAAGTAATTTTTATTTGACATTTTCGCGGCGCGAGCTGTTGTTGGTCTTTTTGGCGCCAACTGTTGGCCAGAAATCAGCATTTTAAAACACAAACGGTATATTTAACCAATAGTATTGTTAACTTATAATTAAAGTGATAAATGGCAATTTACTTGTCATGGTTTCTCAATATTGTGTCCAATCCCGATGAAAAATGATCTTTCCGCCGCCGCGTACTCTATGATTACCTCAGGCGAACTTGACTTTTTTTTAATGAAAAGTTGTTCGGATACCTTGGTTAAACTTTTGAAATGACAAACGACCTAATTTATTTATCATAGAGACAGCATTGAGATTAAATGTTGAGGCTACTTTTGGTTTCTAAACTGCATTTGAATATCTTATTAAATATTTGTTTCTCTTTATAGTCTAACCATTTCAATTAAAGACTAATAACATCTTCCAGGACTGCCTGATCTCATTCCTGATCCATACTATATCCAAGCTGCATCTTATATCCAGAGAGTGCAGATGTACACATTAAGATGTGCCGCAGAAGAAGACTGTCTCTCCAGGTGCTGACTCGAACCACAATAGCAGCAAAAAATACAACTTTTATTGACCATTTTAAATTGAATATTTGCCTTTTCCCTCAAGTTCAGCGTACGGTGCGAGAGTGAGGGACCTTGATTACAGAGTGCTTCTCCGATTTCCTCAGAGGGTCAAAAATCAAGGCACAGCAGATTTTCTCCCTGTGAAACCACATCATCAGTGGGAATGGCACAGCTGCCATCAGTAGGTTCCTGACAACTTTATGTTCTAATCTAGAACGTTACGCACTTACATGTATGCATATTTGTTAAAGTCCCCCTGTAGTCAATCATTTTATCCCTTAAAACTCATCTTTGATCACCAAAATTACATATTTAAACATTTTTTCCTTGAAATAAATTTCTTCATGCCTTATACTTGAATGTAACTCTACACCCTTGCCTCTATGAATATGCAAATGAGCCCTGCCTCCACTCACTCACTCAGCTCAGAGATCCACTGGTTGACGATCACACGTTGATCTGATTGGTTACAAGGTCGTTTGTGACGTCAGAAACACCAGCGATTTCAAACCGTGTTTTTGAGACTGTCTTTGGCTCACTGCAGTTTTAAGGAGGAAATACTCGGCAATGCTGTCGACTTATGAATTTACACATGGTGTGTCTTAAAGCGTATTCAAAACACCACAGACATATATATAAACAACATTGAAAACTGGATTTTCACCACAGGGGCACTTTAAATGCTTTGCGGTTTTTTTACCTTGGCGTACTAGCTACAGAAACTCAAAGTATCATAGTTACAAATAACTCTTCTATTAATTTCTTGATAACAAAGAGATTATTTTACTATATTACTTTGTTTTCTTCCTAAGACATTATCACAGCATGGATGCCTTCAGCAATTACGACCTCTTGACCGCCTCCACGGGCAGAAAAGTGGCTGAGGGTCATAAAGCCAGTTTCTGTCTGGAGGACACCAGCTGTGATCCAGGTGTGAGGAGAAGATACGCCTGCACTGCTCACACACAGGTGCGGAGAATAATGTCACTCATGGCAATGCAAAATGTCTTATTTTTTCCACAATTAAGCTGTTTTATCAGCCAGTTTAGAACGTTTTGTCTTTGTTGGAGCAGGGATTGAGCCCAGGCTGTTATGACACCTACCATGCCAACATCGACTGTCAGTGGATTGATGTTACCGATGTTTCTCCTGGAGATTATATTCTAAAGGTGAGTCAATGGATTATTTAGGCGCCGTTTACACGACAACTTTTTCAACTAGAAAAAACGGAAAACTTTTGGCCGTTCATTTAGACGACAACGGAGTTTTGTGGGGCTGAAAACGCAAACTTTTGAAAATTTTGTTATTGCCTCCGTGTAAACTACAAAAACAAGAATTTATGAAAACGGTGACATCATGCATATGAGTCTGAAATTCTCGTCCGAAATTTTTGCACCAAAAAATAAATAGTAAATACGACCATACGTTGTGTCAATCACGTTACACTGTCTCCGAAACTTTCGTCCGTCATATAAATATTCGGATGGGGTTAAATTTTCTGTGTTTTTCGCAGCAAGCATTTTGAGAGGTATTTTGACAAGTCAGAGCCACCGTACAAGCGAACGCCAAAATCCAGAACTGTTCAGGATAAATTGGTACACGGGAATTGGTGGTCTTCTTTTTAATATGTGGCTCCAGTATCGCTAGCAAAGCATCAAACTGAGCCACTGACATCCTGAAGTAAACCTCGGGATAATCCCGCATCGAACTCTCCTTCCTCTAGTCTACGCAATCTCAGGATTACATGATGTACCCAATATTTCCTCTTGTTTTTTTCACTTTTTAAGAAGAGAGAGGACAACAAAACCATCCTCACTGCTTGAAGACTCCATTTTGTATTGTTTAGCGAATTTTTGCGCAACGGATTAATTAATACCCTTCGGACTCAGTGTGCAAGGTTTCTGTGCGCGACGAATTTTTAGGATGACGAATACGAAAAAACACATGAAAATTTCTGACTCACTGTGCAAGGACCTTTAGTGTTTCTTTACAAAGTGATATCGCCATCTACTGGCCTGGCAGAATACAGCGTTTTTAGTCGTTTTCACAGATCCGTGTGACAATGTTGTCTGGACACGAAAAACGCAAAGGAAAAACGTTTCTTTTTGTCATGTAAACAAACATACCAAAAGTTAGAGACATGTTTTGAAACCATGTGATCCACTGACAGGTGACCGTGAACCCAGGTTTCCAGGTGCAAGAGTCTGACTTCTCCAATAACGTTGTTAGATGTGACATCAGATACACGGGGTCGTACGTCCAAGCACACAACTGTAGAATCACAGGGTGAGTTTAAAGCAGGAGTGGAATCAGAAATCGTATTAAAACTCCTGACGCATTAATGATGTTTATTTATTTCACAGATACTGATCCAGTACTTCATCCAAACCTCCAGAGTTGAAATCAAGCAAAGTCACATTGTCATGTGGATCGACTGGGCGTTAACTTGACTTATTTTTATTTATCTAGATTTATGTTCGCGACAGACTCTTCAAGCAAAGTGACTGTGACATATTTGGTAAAGCTTAACATCCAATGCCAATAATGCTAATAAATTCTTATTTATTAACCTTTTGTATTTTTTAATAAAAAGTATTCAATTACATTTTCATCATATTATATTTTTGTTTTAATTTCTGTAATTTGGTGTTATTTCCCACTGAACCCCTTAAATTAAAGTTTTAGTTACATCAAGTAAATGACATTAATAGTTTCAGTCAAAGAAGATTAATAAAATACTAGTGTTTCACAAAGGTGTACAGCATAAAAACATGTATAAAGGAGGGGCAGATTTTTATAGTCCACTCATAAATCGATTTTACTACTAGTTGATGTTTTTTTAACCACTGGTTCATATGTGATCTTCTGAAGTAGTTCAGGTCATGGCTCATTTGAAAATGGGTCTATGGGGTCAAATTAGCACAGCCTGACATCAGAGTCATGAAAGTTCAGTTTGCTCAAGATCTCCAAACGTGCGGAGAGTGCAACAACGTCCCGGAAACATTCCTATCTGTCTGAAGGTTTAAAATGACACGAGAAAGAGAAATCCCGGAGTGGAATTTGTGGACAGAGAAACATTCATATGTGAGAAGGAAACTCCATCCTTGTTGACAATGGAGAAGACTTCTATTGACAGTTTTAAAATGAGCAAAAAGTGATTATAATTTTGTGTTTGGGGAAATTTGATTCAAATGTGTTTTGTGAATTGCAATTTTCAAGGGTAGTTAAAAAACCCCACAAGATTGTGACTAAATCATTGACAATGTACTCATTGAGAAGTGTTAGTTTTAGGAAAAACGGACACATTCTGATGGTGAATGATGTTTAGAGAAGTGAAGAAAATGTCTGGCGAATGCTGGTATGCTTAACCACCCTTATTCAGACAAATTAATCCATTACCTAGTCTGTAAAATTGTCAATGTTCATGATTAGAAGTTACAGAGGAGGCAGTGTGTTTCCAGTTCAGACAAAGACGTGATTCTTTCCAAGTCGCCCCGAATGAAAGACATGTATATTGTGTTGCAATATAGGCTAACCTTGAGGATTTAACTGCATATATTTTACAGACATCTAATGCTCCCGATCTTCGGAAAATTTGAATTCTGTGATATTTCAATCACAGAAATGATCTTTTTGTACATTCAAAAAGCTATGTCATGAAAATGTTATTCATAAATTTTCATAAATGCTTATTTGAATGTAAATTACCCAAGTTGCCAATTAGTCTACTTTTTGGGCTACTGTAAATTGAGTTGTTATTCAACTCCAGTCCACTAGATGCTCAACACCTCGCTTCACAGAACTATCCCATCCTATGAAGAACATACAGGAACAGTGCTGGCAGCTTTTCATCACAACATCAGCACAGATCTCTCCCCCATAGAGCATCATGGCATACGATGATCACATAAACTCGTGTGTGAAGCTTCTGCTACTGTTGGTTGTGTTGTGCGCGGTGCGCGCTTCCGCTGACAGGACCAAAACACTCGACTTCGATGTCAAACCTGGGGGAGTTGTGCAGACTTTCTCAGCTAAACTGGTGAGTATTACGCACATTAATACTATAGCAACGTAATATTTATAACACAACATGTTTTGTTGGATAGAAACGTAACAACGAATAATTTCCGCGATTTTCCTCATTGATTAGCACTCGATTTCATGTCGTTTTCCAGTTCTCCGTTATTATTATATTTGAAACTATATGCCCTAACGTTACTGTACTTCGTATCTTTTAAAAGTGTGTTCGTTTTAAACTCTACAGTAATGAATGGATACTGTGTTTGAAAAACCGCGACGCGTTGAAAGGAAATCCACACGTCATCTTCTCATTGGACTGTTGTGGAGGCGCGGACGTGCAGCGCGCGCCACCTAACGGCTCAAAAATACGTTAAAGGAATAGTTTTAGTTAGTAAAATTATTGTTTACTCACCCTCATGTCGTTCCAAATCCTTATGACTTAATGTTGTCTCTGAAACCCCAATATTTTGATTTTTTCCATAAAATTCAAACGAGGAAAAAATAATATTCTATATCACCTGTGCGCCATTAGATCGTTTTATTGTGAGGGACAGACCAAAATATTGCGCTCTAGCTCTTAAACTGGTAGTTCACCCCAAGATGAAAATTTTCTCATCATTACTTACCCTAAAGTTGTTTCAATCCTGTATGAATTTCTTTTTCCTGCTAAACACAAAAGAAGGTATTTTGAAAGCTGTCAGTAACCAAAAAGTTGACGGTCCCGTTGACTTCCATATATGTTTTTTTTTTTTTTAACTATGGAAGTCAATAGGGCCCATCAACTGTTTGATTACCAACATTCTTCAAAATATCTTCTTTTGTTATTAGCAGGACAGGAGAAAGAAACTCATACAGGTTTGAGGGTGAGTAAATGATGGCAGAATTTTCATTTTTGGGTGAACTATACCTTTAAGAGCCACAACAGAGCGTAATATTTTGGTCTGTCCCTCACATAAAGCTATCGAATGAATTAAGAATTTTATTTAATTTATTTTGGGTGAGCTATCCCTTTAGGCCTATATCATATCATAATTCAAACGTAAGTTGTGTCAGGTGTGACACCAGTGGCCATGTTTTTATGTGTATCTCGCGCACCAAATTTAAATCAGTATTTAATCTGAATCCTTGTCAGGTCTTTTTATATATATATATATGTAGTAATAATAGCTGTCAGGCTTTTGACAGGAACGATGGTTACCATGGTTATTTTTGTAAGGGTCAGCATCTTTTCAATACGGAGTCATTCTCAAAAGATCAGTCTGGGAAATTTGCATATTTCGTGGGTGGAATCTTGGCATTTTCAACATGTTTATTTATTCACAATGATCTGTTTCTTGTTTTAGAAAAAGTATAAATGCACCTTCACATATGCGTCTCAAGGAGGAACCAACGAGGTAAGACATTTTCTGTTATTTATAATATCAGATAATAAACCGTTCTCAAAATATAAACAAAACTTGTGATTTTTGTACTTTTGCTAGTTATTAGATTCATTCAGTTGTATTAGATGTTATTGATGAATGGCGGGTACTTGTATTTATTATTAATTATTGCTTCCAATCCCATTTTAATTGTATAATAACTTTATCAAAATTATAATAATTATTACTATTATCAATATTATTATTAGAAGAATTAAAACCATTTCCACTACTACTGTTTATTTCCCTTCTTCCTCACCCCCCCCCCCCCCCCCTCCACAAACCCCAATCTTGATGACATGAGTTTATTGTTGTTGTTAATTATTATTTATGGATTTTACTATTGTTATATCTGTTACTGATACTTTTCCTTCTACTCTCTGGTTTATATTCTCTGGTTTATATGCTTCCATTCCCACACTTAGATACACTTACATTTACACACACACACAAATATACAGGAGTTATCAGAATTGACTTATGTTGGCTGTTTGTTTGTTTGTTTGTTTGCCTAGTTTATTTTTTATTTAGCACATATACAGGTGAAACTCGAAAAATTAGAATATTGTGCAAAAGTTATTTTTTTTCAGTAATTCAACTTAAAAGATGAAACTAATATATTATATAGACTCATTACATGCAAAGTAAGATATTTCAAGCCTTTATTTGTTATAATTTACTTACACCTTTTCACCATATTCTAATTTTGACTTTGGGGTTTTCATAAGCTATAAGCCATAATCATCAAAATTATAACAAATAAAGGCTTGAAATATCTCACTTTGCATGTAATGAGTCTATATAATATATTAGTTTCACATTTTAAGTTGAATTACTGAAATAAATAAACTTTTGCACCATATTCAAATTTTTCCTGTATATAGTGTCACAATTTAGACAGAATTTACATTTTTAATTTTAAGACAATCTCCGCTATTGTTGTGGCATCCAGAAATCTGTCGCTCCGCCACTGACGACATGGGAAATTGCCGCAATTATGCGCCGTCGTGATTTCACAGGATTGCTCCGTTTCTGACTCAAATGTGAACCGTTTGTGCTTTTATTCCCTGTAGCAATGGCAAATGAGCGTCGGACTGAGTGACGACGAGCAGATGTTCTCCTGTTCAGTGTGGAGGTAACTTTAAAAACACTGTGATATTGGTGTTATAAAAAGCTCTACTCAATATGCAATGCTAAAAAGTAGAAGTACAAGCAAATCTAGTCTAGTGTTTTCAAACGTCGTCGTGAAACTTGAGATGAAAGGGGGAACCATATTGATTTTTCTCTGTCATTTTCACGATAGGCCTCAAGGAAAGTCCTACTTGTTTTTTACCCAGTTCAAAGCCGAGATAAAAGGAGCGAAGATTGAGTACGCCACCGCATATGTAAGTATCACAGCTATCCATCACGACCTGACACCACCTCAATGAGTGAAACACTCAGCAATAGGCATGATTCAATATGAAGAAACCTGCTTTTAATGTGTTGATGCATTTCATAGACCCGAGACTATCCAGAAGGTACATTTTAATTTGCGCATAAAAAGAATAGGCACTTTTTTTTTTTTTTTTGAACAGCGTGCTTAAAATGTATCCTCAGTCGTGACATTGACATTTGCCGCAGATCAAACCGTAATTCAGATCAAAAGCAGTCAGCCCTTTTTTATACAGGTGTTGCATATCAAGACTTTGTGAAAAGATCTTCATCTTCAGATCGCATTGAGATTCTCAGTGACGTTTCGGTGGCCTTGTCCCTGTTGCAAATAAGAAAAGTCTCTTTTTGTTTTTCTTAGACGAGATCTCTCTGTTATCCAAGCCCACTCCTCTAGGCTTCTCTGTTAATGTCTCGTGTCACTCATCCTCTCTCTCTTTCTCTCTTCTTCTCAGTCCCAGACGGCCGTGGGTGGACAGAGGGATGTTGCTTTGAAGGAAGAAGAGTACATTGTGTCAGAGTCTGCAGGTGAGTCAGCGAATTACTGCTTTCAGAAGGGTTCATACAGACCAGACGTGGAAAAACCTGGAAAATCAGTGGATTTTAAAGGGTCAGTTCACCCAAAAATGAAAATGATGTCATTAACGCCTCTCCCTCGTGTCGCTCCAAGCCCGTCAGTCCTCCGTTCATCTTCAGAACACAGTTTAAGATATTTTAGATTTAGTCCGAGAGCTTTCTGTCCCTCCATTGTAAATGTGTGTACGGTATACTGTCCTCGTCCAGAAAGGAAATAAAGACATCATCAAAGTAGTCCATGTGACATCAGTGGGTTAGTTAGAGTGTGTTGAAGCATCGAAAATACATTTTGCTCCAAAAATAACAAAAACTAGGCCTTTATTCAGCATTGTATTGTGTTCCGGTTCTGTTGTGGATCCGCGTTCAGTGCCGCCGCTGACGTAAGACGCTGCTGACGTGTGTGTGTGTGTGTGTGTGTGTATTTTTGGACCAAAATGTATTTTCGATGCTTCAACACACTCTAACTAACCCACTGATGTCACATGGACTACTTTGATGATGTCTTTATTTCCTTTCTGGACAAGGACAGTATACCGTACACACATTTACAATGGAGGGACAGAAAGCTCTCGGACTAAATCTAAAATATCTTAAACTGTGTTCCGGAGATGAACGGAGGTCTGACGGGCTTGGAGCGACACGAGGGAGAGGCGTTAATGACATAATTTTCATTTTTGGGTGAACTGACCCTTTAAAGGTGACATATTATGCCCATTTTTACAGGATGTAATATAAATATTAGGGGTGGAACGGTACATGTATTCGTATTGAACCGAAACGGTACGGGCGTCACGGTTCGGTGCACGAATTTGCACGGAGAATACACGGTATAAAAATAAAAAATTGCGATAAATTTCGCTCTATTCGCGTTTGGTGTGACCGCATAATGAACAGGCTGCGATGTCAAGATTGCAATGCAGGAGTGTGTGTGTACGCGCGCGCGCGTGCGAGAGAGAGAAAGGTGCGTTTGAACTCTGTGAGTGTGTGTGTGTGAGAGAGAGAGAGGCGCGTTTGAACTCTGTGAGTGTGTGTGTGTGAGAGGGAGAGAGGCGCGTGCGCGATCGAACAGTGGAAACATAAAAAACATACTCCGTCTTTTTGTTCATACACATCATTCAAACTGCAAAGTGTTTACTTATATTTGTGTACACTCGCAATAAAACACAACATTGTGCTTTTGTCACACTGTAAACTCTTGTCAAACTGCAACCTACAACTGTTAACAAAAGTTTTTAATGGTAGTATTATTTTATACGGAAATCAATTATTTATAATTCAGATCAGAATTAAGTTAGGGTTAATTAAAATGAAGGAAAACAAATATATTGATCTGAAATATAGCAAAATCATTTTAAATTCATTCAGGTACAATTACCAAACATATCGCAAGGTATTTTTGTCTTTTTATTAATTTAATTAATAAACGAATTATATAAAACTATTGTCAGTGCACTACAAATAAACTGGTTCTATGCCTTTATTAATAAAACGTATTTAAAAAATACAATGCCTTCTGCATTTTTGTTTTGCTTTATCCCTCCATTGTACCGAAATCGTACCGAACCGTGATGTCTGAACCGAACCGTGACTTCTGTGTACCGTTCCCCCCCTAATAAATATATATATATACAGTCAGCTGGGCATTGTCACAAAATAAACCCCATCAGGGTGATCAGCTGCTCAAGTCGACTACTACCCATAAGTGCTTTATTTGTATGTTAATGACCCGATGCACGTACATAATCTCACTTAGTACACCGCTACTTGCCCAATGAATTCAGGTTGCTATTGAGATGACTGGGAAAAAGTGTCCCAATCAACCTGAATTCACCCCTAAAAACATAACAAATATATATATATAAATGGTGTCCTGAGAATGTGTCTGTGAAATTTCAGCTCTAATTACCACAATCATCTATCATAGCTTGTCAAATTTGCCCCTTTTTAGGTGTGAGCAAAAACGCGCCGTTTGTGTGTGTGTCCCTTTAAATGTAAATGAGCTGCAGCTCCGCCTCCGTTCAGAAGAGGGCGGAGCCTTTACACGAGCTTCGGATACAAGAACAAAACACGCGAATAATCTCACTTTAAATCTCAGTAATAACAGTAGCGAGTGCAGCCTTACGGAGAGACTCGGGAAGAGTTGAACTTTTAGACGCACCTGGACGTTTCTGAATGTTAGTGGATACATTTATGGAGGAGTTGTATTGATTCGTCTCATCCACTTTTACACAAGTTGACAGTTCCCTGAGGTCTTATAAGACAGCTGTGACATTTTCTGGTTAAATAAGTGTTCAGTGCTCGTCTGTGCTCAACGACAGAACAGTTTGCATGCTTTGCTGGAACTTCTGCCATTGCGTAAGAACTGGTCACTGTTGTCGCTTGTGAAACCAAATGGCGGCGTCGTGTGTGTGTAAACGTGCAGATTAAGGGCCGGTAATATTATAATAATATCCCCTTCCTACGTCAGAAGGGGAGCGAAATCTGATCGGATTATTTTTTGACATGCTTGCGGAGAAAGGCTTATCAATACAAAGTTACTGGAGTCAGATTTCATGATATATCCCCTTTAAAATCTGTTTATTATTATTATTATTATTGCTACTACTATTACTTTTCTAACTATTATTGTATTATTATATAAGACTGTATTATCATATCTTCCTCATCCTCCAGATATTTTATTTTGTTTATTTATTTATTTGTACTGGTATTATTATCATCATCATCATTATTATTGTTGTCATCGGTATGTTTTTTTAAAATGTATTAATTAATATTTATTACGTCGGTGTTGTATCTGTAAGATGTTCCCACATCCCACAAAAGATATTTCCACTCACACACCCAGATATAGTTGCGCACACACACACACACACACACACACACACACACACACACACACACACACACACCATGTATGTTTTGTGTGTTTATGTTTATGTATGTGGCCTTGGTGTTTTTTGTTGTGTTATAGATAAACAAACTTGCAATACTGTTAAAAAAAATCTGGTTTTCCTAGTCATAGAAATGAATACAATCATGGCAATTTCCATACTGAATATGAATGTTGCTAATCATTCACATCTTGTTTTTTAGTGACCCACAGAGACGGGAAGTTTCGTTCCGAGCTTTCCAAGCTCCTCGTCATTGCTCGGACACGCCACGATGAGCTCTGATTGGCCGATCCGAAAGAGGATTGTCCTATTGCGCGAGGACATTGGTTATTTGACGGCTATGGACACTTAACTGTTCACTATATCAAGACACAGGAACTTCCTGTGACGGGAAATACTACAGATTTTCTATAGAGGCAGCGTTACGCCAATGGCCATGAACTGGACTGATCATCCAATGAGGTAGACGACAAATCTATTATCGGACATTACGGGGAAAAAATGTATATTTGTGATGTGTTATGAAGGCTTCATCAAATTCGTTTCAGAACAGTTGATTGATTTCTATGCTTGGCAGTGTTTAGGGTTTGTGCAAATGTGATTATCAAGAGTGCATTTATGCTCATACTGTACTTACTTTCTTAAGCTGCCGCTTGTAGAGTATTCCCACAACGATCTTTGGGGAGTGTCAGAGTCCTTTGATTATTTCTGTGATGGAGGAAAAAAACAGGAAAACAGTCACACTTCCAGTCGTGCTTTATTCTGATAGCTGATGTCCTGGAATTTTTAATAAATCTATTATCAGAACGCTTTGTTTCTCGCGTCACAATTTGCAAATCAAATGACTTTTTGTATTCATATTTTTGCACATGTCTGTCAGAATCTGCGGATGTGTCCGCCATTTCTTTTGAAGGGGATCTGTGTAATGAAAATTAAGTATTGTAAAATGTATTTCTTTTTAAAATCTTTCTAAGTTTGCAGATTCTGGTCATATTGTGAGATTTGTCCACTCAGCTTTGTACATCTGTGTGGATATAAGCGTCTGAATCCTATGTGTCAGCAATTTTCTAAGTGAACGGGTAACGCTTTACAATCAGGATCATTAGTTAACATGAACAATACTTCTTCAGCATTTATTAAAGGGTTAGTTCACCCCAAAATGTAAACTCTGTCAGTAATGACTCTCCCTCATGTTGTTCAACCCCGTAAGACTTTCGTTCATCTTCGCAACACAAATGAAGATATTTGTGATTAAATCTGAGAGCTGGATCACTCCTCCATAGGCTTCTAAGGGATCGAAACTGGCCCGCCCAGAAAAGTTATTAAAGACATCGTTAAAATAGTCCGAGTGACTACAGTAGCTCAATCTTAAGTTTATCAAGCGACGAGAATATTTTCTGTGCGCAAAAACAAACAAAAATAACGACTTTATTCAACTATTAATTTCCTTCTCTGTGGGCCGTGATATTGCGCAAAGCTTCTGTGTTGCACGTAGGCTCACTATTGGCCGACGCTGGTCATGTGTGTGTGTGTGACGTACAACCCAGAAGCGCTGCGCTGTTACACTACGCGAACTCACTCACGGCCCACAGAGAAGGAAATTAATAGTTGAATAAAGTCGTTATTTTTCTTGTTTTTTGCGCACAGAAAGTATTCTCGTCGCTTGATAAACTTAAGGTTGAGCCACTGTCGTCACTCGGACTATTTTAACGATGTCTTTAATAACTTTTCTGGGCCGGCAAGTTTCGATCCCTTAGAAGCCTATGGAGGAGTGATCCAGCTCTCAGATTTAATCAGAAATATCTTCATTTGTGTTGCGAAGATGAACGAAAGTCTGACGGGGTTGAACAACATGAGGGAGAGTAATTACTGACAGAGTTTTAATTTTTGGGTGAACTAACCTTTTAATCTTAGTTAATATTAATTTTAATATTTACTAATACATGATTAAAATCAAAGGTTGTATTTGTTGACATTAGCTAATGCACCGTGAACTAACATGAACAAACAATGAACAGCTGTATTTTTATTAACTAACATTATCAAAGATTAAAAAAATACTGTAAAAAATGTATTGATCATAGTTTATGTTAGGTAATGCATTAACTAATGAACCTTATTGTAAAGTGTAACCAATGAATGTGAAAGTGTGACTTTCCCCACAGTAGATTCTGTGTCATGAGCTTTGAAATGAGCATCGCAGCACACACGAGGGAGACATAACGCTGTAAACGCATGCTTAGCCTTCAGTACCTGTTGAAAAGTGCTTGCATTCGCACTGTGTCGCACAGTGATTTTGCTAAAACGCCCTCAGGACGTGTATCCGAGAACATCATATTTTTAAGGCAAGACTTCAAGCACTACTAGACCAGAGTTAGGAAAGCAATAAAAAAATAATCCTTTTTTAACAGATGGGGGGGAGATCAGAGGAAGAGGAATTGAGATTGCATCCCACTCCAGATGTCATCTAAGGCTAGAAATAATCTCCCGCTACCTTTGACTTGCGTACAGTATTTCTAAGAAGTCACGCTCTAGATTTATTAGTGCATGATGATGTTTCTGTCCTGTCGACCTAAAGCGAAAAGGCATTACATGGTTTTGCCGGACTTTACCAGACATTAAAGGATTAGTTCACTTTTAAACAAAACATTTGCTGATAATTTACTCACCCCCATGTCATCCAAGATGTCCATGTCTGTCTTTCTTCAGTCGAAAAGAAATTACGGTTTTTGTCCATATAATGGACTTCAATGGGGTCCAAACGGTTCAAGGTCCAAATGACAGTTTCAGTGCAGCTTCAAAGGGCTTTAAGCTATACCAGACGATGAATACGGGTCTCATCTAGCGAATCGATCGGTTTAAAAAATAAATTTAAAATAAATGCGCGTTCGTGACGTCAGTGAATACGCAATTACGTTGAAAAGGTCTCACAGAACAGAGCAAGGCAAGCATTTGTGCTTATAAAACTTAAACTTTTTTATTTCTTTTTGAAATGGCCGATCGTTTCGCTAGATAAGACCCTTATTCATCGTCTGGTATCGTGTAAAGCCCTTTGAAGCTGCACTGAAACTGTCATTTGGACCTTGGACCGTTTGGACCCCATTGAAGTCCATTATATGGAGAAAAACTGTAATTTCTTTTCGACTGAAGAAAGAAAGACATGGACATCTTGGATGACATGGGGGTGAGTAAATTATCAGCAAAAGTTTTTCTTAAAACTGAACTAATCCTTTAAATTGCTTCTGCACTCTATTGGATCCAGTAAGGATCGAACTTACTAGGACGGTGCCTGTAACCCGTTATACCACATCGAGTGAGTGATGCTCCGCTTTTGTGACCTGGAGCCACGGCCTGCTCAAACAATGGTCGAGAGCAGCGTCCGTTTAAAGGGGTAGGGCGGCGTCTTCTGCCCTTTGTCTTTAGCTTTGGGATTTACTCTTCCCATCGTGCTGGCGTAAGGGTACGGAGGAGGCTTCTTGCTCCTGCGCCCTGATGTGTGTTGTGGAGAATTGACCGTCTCCTGAGTTGGTTCCAGTTTTTGACCTGCCTCATGCAGCTCTTGATCTCCGGTCGGATACGGTGGTGGGGACACCGATGGAGTCGGTGTTTCGACTCCTTGAGAAGACGCCACTTCCATGTCCGACTTTTCTCTGAAAGTGTCGCCTTGTTCCTCTTTGCAAATATCAATGTCAGCCGTCAGCAGGTCTATCTTCTGGACCACCTGGGATGACAAGGCATATAGTTAAACGGTTAGTTCACCCAAAAATACAAATTCTGTCAGTAATTACTCGCCCTCGTGTCGGTCCAACCCCCTGTAAGACTTTCGATCATCTTTGGGCCAGAAATGAAGATCGTTTTGATGAAATCTGAGGCTACGTCTACATTAATCCGGATAGATTTGAAAACAGAGTTTTTGTTTCAAAACGCTCTCCATCCACACTAGCGTTTTCTAAGTTTCTCATCCAGAAAACGCTAAATTCACCTCTAAATTCATACAGCGCACGTGTAAACCCTCATAAAAGCTCACTGAGATGATACAGACTTTATTTTACAGTGTCCTTGTTACATATGTTACATGTACTTACCATAGTAATAGCAGTAAATTATGCATAATAACATGCAACTAACCAAATCCTAATCCTACCCTAACTCTATAGTAAGTACATGTTGTGTTAATTAATATTAATCAGTACCTAAATGTATAATTACACTAACAATGACACCTTTAAATAAAGTGTAACCTAAAGTTGTCATGCTATTCTTCTGGATTTAGCTAAATATCTCACCATTCACTGATGTGTCCAGGTCGCACGCAATCAACATTAAATGTTTGGTCTGAAATGCAACTGCTCTCATGTTTTGTCTCAGGACAGCAAATGCGAGTGAATTTTATGTCATCTTTGCAGGACTGTGCAAACAAACATCTTTTAGCGACTGTGTGAAAGTGATTAGCACATAGCAGGCACAATACTGGTATAAACATGAATATCTATGGGTTCAATGTGCGTCACATGACTAAACTTGCGTCATCGTTTTCACAGTCCACACTACAGCACGAAAACTAACACTTTAAACTCTTAAAGGAGTAGTTCACTTTTTAAAAAACTTTTGCTGATAATTTACTCACCCCCATGTCATCCAAGATGTCCATGTCTTTCTTTCTTCAGTCGAAAATAAATTTATGTTTTTGATGAAAACATTCCAGGATTTTTCTCCATATAATGGACTTCAATGGCTCAAAAGATTCGTTCATTTTGATGAACGAGTTCGAACAGGAGAGTTCGCAAGGCGAGCATTTGTGCCTATAAAACTTTAACTTTTTTATTTATTTTTGAAATGACAGATCGTTTCTCTAGATAAGACCCTTATTCATCGTCTGGTGTCGTTTAAAGCCCTTTGAAGCTGCACTGAAACGGTCATTTAGACCTTGAACCGTTTGGCTACCATTGAAGTCCATTATATGGAGAAAAATCCTGGAATGTTTTCATCAAAAACATTAATTTCTTTTCGACTGAAGAAAGAAAGACATGGACATCTTGGATGACATGGGGGTGAGTAAATTATCAGCAAAAGTTTTTTTTAAAAGTGAACTACTCCTTTAACTAACACGAACACCCGAAACTTACAGCCACGATGTTATAATTGGGACAGGAGGAAGTACTTAAGTATCATTTCATGTGTTTATAATTCAGTTTAAGCAAACATGCTAACGGAAACACGCATTTCAATATAACCCACGATCCTTCAAAAAAGTAAAACTAGCTAATCTGTTTAACGGCAAAGAATAGTTTATTAATATGCGGTTAATATGCAAATAAAATAAATGGATTTTCCTTAAATATTGCAAAAATCTGTGGCGCTGTTTAAAAATGTCTCTGTTTGAGAATTTCGCATTAGTGTGGACAAGGCCTGAGAGCTTTCCGTCCCGCCGTTGACAGGCTACGCAACTA